CCACCCGCAGAGGTCAGAAGAGGGCTTCAGATTCCCCTGGAACTGGAGTTAAGGACAGTTTGTAGCTGCCATGTGGGTGCTGGGAATCGAACTTGGGTCCTCTGCTAGAGCAGTCAGCACTCTTAACTACGAGCCATCTCTCCAGCCCCAACACAGGCTTTTTTAAAAGTGAGGAATGGCTAAGAAAAAGAAGGTGGTTGCTGACCTCTGTATACCGTAGTCCACCTGTATTAGTTTTATGTCTCCCCAGCCTGGCCTCTGAATTGGCCTTTGTCACTTCAGGGAAGGGAAGGAGATGTTAGCCAGGACCATGAGGTTATAATTTAGTTGGGAGACAGGAGGACGCTGGGAGAAACACAGTTTACTAACTGTAAGTTAGCACTGTTTTGTGTATAGATTGCTACTGTTTTCTGCTCTTGGACATAGAAAGTAAGCTCTTCCCCCAAATACGTGTTCAGCATAGCACTTTCCTATTCATATTTGACTGAATAGAATTGCATATTTAAGGTAAATTCGGCAGAAACAACTATTGGCATGAATCCTTATAAAGACATGCTGTCTTGTCCATTTCTGCCCTTCTACTGCCCCTCTGTGGTGATTTCCTTGTGTTATAGTATCTCAGCTTTGCTTCAGTCCATGTCCCAGCCCCCACCTTCCTAAACACTTTCCTAAGCAAAATTCAGTCATTTCCAACCGCCTTTTTCTTATTTTCTTTTTTTTTTTTTTTTTTTTTTTTTTTTTTTTTTTTGTTGGGGGTGCAAAGCATTCTGTAGGTCAGAGCAGTCTCAAATTCACTATGAAGCTGAGGCTGACCTTAAACTCCTGACTTCCTGCAGAGCTCTACTTTTCAAGTGCTGGGATTACAGGCAGGCATAACACTCCACCCCAAGCAGCCCTTTTAAAACATCCCAATTGTGAAACAAAATGCTGCAATAGGCTCCATGTTGACAAACAACTTCACTCCACTCTGATCCTCCCATGAGTCCTATTCAGGATTCAGTCTTCCCAAATCCAAATCTTGCTCTTCAGACACATGCATGAGAATGACAGACTACGACCTGACCTGTTCCTCCTCGCTTCATGTTGCTGTGTCCCTCCCACACTGAGACCTTGCCCACCCCTCTGGTTCTGAGAGTCATGTCCTATTTACAGGCTCATTTGCTGGGCATGTTACTCAGTTTATGGGGGTGATAAGGGGGTCTATCAATGGTTGTTCTGAAAATTAATGGGGATATTCATTAAGATACATAATGTATGCCCTACATAGACAATAATTTGTGTTATATAATAATAATAACTAGCTGCTATTGCTTGTACATGTATCTCTAGAAACAAGACACTACAGACTGTGTACCTTCCCTTTTCATGGCAAAACTGAACCAGGTGTAATGGATTTGTACATTCTACTTCAACTGCTGTCACTTCTAGATGATAACTTCGTTAATGTATGTCCTTTAGTAGTATTTTGTTTTAAATTCAAATAAACCACATTTAGAACAAATTTATTTAAAGGAAATGCTGGTACTTTTATCTTCTGAGAAAAGCAATGTAATTAGTAAACCAGCATACTCAAGGAAGAAAATCCACTTTCAGCAAATTTAAGAAATAATTTACTATGACAATGCTTTACTGAAATGCAGCATTTCAATTCAACACTTTTTTTTCAGGTTTTTTTTTTTCTGGTAGTAGAAATAATGCATTTCTATTACAATGTTGGAAAGTATACAGCAACGATTTCAGAGCACTGATGATCATAATTAGAGCAAATCCTTCCTGAGGTATTGGTGAGTTCATGGCTGTCTTTTTCCTAAGCCAGTGCTGTTTGGTGGAACTCTGTGTATTGATGGGGACCGTCTCCTTCCACACCACACAGCATGCGTACCCCAGCCATGGGCTGCAGAGCATCTGACTAGCTAGGACAATGGAGATGCCAGGGCTTTAGTTGGACTTAATGTTCATTCAATTTATTGTGTATTATTTTCTCCAGCCTTATGTAGGTATAATTCAGAAAAACTTTACATTATATAAGGTAATACTCAGTGTGATGGTTTCATGGATGAATACATTGCAAAATGATTCCCAGACTCAAGCTAGTGAACACAACCAAGTTACTCTGTGTCTAGTATAGTGTGTGTATATTTTGTAGTGTGTGTGTGTGTGTGTGTGTGTGTGTGTGGTATATATCTGTGTGGTATGAGTGTGTCTAGTATAGTGTGTGTATATTTTGTAGTGTATGTGTGTGTGTGTGTGTGTGTGTGTGTGTGTGTGTGGTATATATCTGTGTGGTATGTATGTGCACATGTGAGTATATCTGTATGGTATGGTATGTATGTATATGGTGTGGGAAGGGGTGATGTGTATCTGTGTAGTGTTTGCATGTGTGTGTGGTATGTGTCTATGGTGTGGAGGAGAGATGGTGTGTATCTTTGTGGTGTGTGTGGTATGTGTACATGTGTGTGAGCATGTATGATATGTATATGGTGTGGGAGGGGTAGTGTGTATGTGTATGTGTGTGTGTGATACAGTATTGACTGTGTGATCATTATGCTGTACATTAGCTCTCAGAATTCATGCACCTTACATTGGGAAGCTTGATTCTCTCTCGCTTAAGATCTTCTGGGCTCTCTGGCTGCCAGATCCCAGCAAGCACTCTTCTGTCCTCAGCTCTGCACCTGGACAGCCCAGTATGCAGCAGAAATGTTGGAGTTCTGAGATTGGTTCGACTCTCAGGTTCATGTTGAGGATTTTGAGACCACTTTCAGGCAAAGAAAGAATGCTGACATCAATGAGTACACGACTGAAAGATATTCTTTGCAAGTGATTAACAAAGTAGCAGAAAATGGTGGATTAGGCTTAAAACTTCACATTTTCTTCAGATGAAAACTGTCTTGGACAATTATTTTAATGTACAAACTGGAAAATTCTAACCTATGAATGTTTAGTCTTTACCAAGAGAGATGACTTAGATGTCAAACTAACCTGAGTATAGAAAACCTCATGCAGGGGCTGGAGAAATGGCTCAGCGGGTGAAAGTGCTGATTGCTCTTAAAGAGGAGGCAGGTTCGATTCCCAGCACCTACATGGCGGCTAGCAACCATATAACTCCAGTTCCAGGGGATCCGACACCTTCTTCTGTCCTCCACAGGCATTACACAACACAGGTACACTTATGTACATACAGGCAATACACTCATATATATAAAAATAATAATTTTTTTTAAAAAAAGAAAACATGATGCCATCCTGCCTGGAATGTGAATTTCAACAGGACTTTAAAAAACAAAAATATGGGCTGGAGAGATGGCTCAGAGGTTAAGAGCACTGACTGCTCTTGCAGAAGACCTAGGTTCTATTCCCAGCACCCACATGGCAACTAACAACTCCATAACTCCAGTTCCAGGGGATCTGACACCCTCTTCTGACTTCCATGGGCATTGCACAACATGGGTGCACCTACCTACATGCAGACAATACACTCATGTACATAAAATAAAAACATAAATAAATAAATGAATAAATGAATTATACCTACATAAGGCATAAATAAATAAATAAATAAATAAATAAATAAATAAATAAATGCTGGGAGTAAGAGAGATGGCTCAGCAGTTACTGCCCTTCCAGAGGACTCAAGTTCAGTTCCCAGCACCATATTGAAAGGTTCACAACTGCCTGAAATTTCAGCTCCAGGAAATCTAATGTTCTCTTCTGGCCTCCAGTACATATGTAGCATACACACAGACATACACAAACATAAATGAAATAAAAATAAACCTTTTAAAAAGACTTTTTAAAAATGCTCCCATTATCTTCTTTAAATGTAGTTCCCCCAAATCTTCAGAACTGTATTATTCCTCAGAAAATGAGACTGTTTCTCTGCAGGGAAAGTCACAATTCTTCTAATCCCCTTCCAAAAATGTGAACAAAGTTAAGAAGTTCTGTCCTGAGTTCTGCCTCAAACAGCAAAGTCCCAGCTAACCCTTATGCCTTCTCTCTTTGTAGCCTTGGTCACTGATGGCCTCACAGATGCAATTCTGTGGGCAAAGAAAATTGTGAAAGAGATGCAAGGGATGAATTATTGGTGAGTGTTTCCTTGGCAGACTTGGGTTGAACTGGGTAGAACCTACTATGCATGTATTGGTTAGGGTGGACTTGGAAAACTGCTGTCTGCAGAGTGAAAGGGTCTATCTAGTCAATGACAGAGCTTGCTCTGGATTTGCATGAGATTTGGAGATGCTCAGCACTAGTTCATGGAGAAAGAGAAGAAGAAGCCGTGAGGACCAAACACCGTAGTGTAAATGTCAACTCAACAGAAACCTCCCCTTAAACTGAGCGCAAGCCATTTTGGAGCAAGCACTGGCTCCCAACTCTGTGACTGTATTTCTAATGAGCATTACCAATCAAGCTATCTACTTGGGGAATCCAAAGTTCAGACCTTGGGTCTCAATGACCCGTCCTTAGAAAACCTTTTTGCTGGTGGCCGAGGCAAGCAGTGCCAAGGAGGACCTGGGGCCGAGGGTGGAGGGACATAGAAAGGTCTTAATGAGACAGTAGACTAGAAATCTTAGACACCAGAGTCAAACACTGGGTCTCCCCGGTTGTCTTGGTTAGCTCTCTGTTGGGCAGTAAGCCTAAGAATTGTCATGCTTCCTTCTGGTGTTCCCACTTCCCTCTCCTCCTCAGGCAACGTTGGAAGAAAAACTGTGAGGGCAAAGACATGTCAGAGTGGAAGAGAGGATGCGAGGTCTTCTGAGCCAGAACAGGTGGAGGCACTTCATCCTGTTCCCGAGTTTTAAGGAGCACCCCTTGTTCTCACAATATTCCTTCCCAAAGCTGGAGAGGGAAATCAAGCTGTGTTTTAAGAAAATAAATATTTCCATTTAAATGTCTTCACTTCCCCCTGACTTGAGTTCAATGATGTCATAATAACTTGATGTTAAGACTTGACAAATCACCTCTGGAATGTTCAAGCCATGCAAAGAATAAACTGCTTCTTTGTTGTAAAGGTTCCTAGTTTCCGTAACCCGGAAGTGTCTGCTCATTCAGGAATAAAGCTTGCTTTGTTTGTTTGTTTGTTTGTTTGTTTGTTTGTTGAGACAGGGTCTCTCTGTAGCCCTGGCTAACCTGAAACTTCCTCTTTAGACAAGACTGTCCTTGAACTCATGGAGATCCACTTACCTCTGCCTCCCAAGTACCGGAATTAAAAACATGTGCCACCATGCCCAACTAGAAATAAAGCCTTTAAAAAATTTTTTTTTTAATTTAATAACCACACGATTAGAAGAAGCATTTCATTACAGCTTTAACATATTCAGTAAGGATCCTTAACAAGCCTGCCAGCCAGTTGGCCAATCACCACACCCCCACACCTCTGCCCCCAGTATGTGGCCATTCTGGTCTGGGCCCAGGGAACACTCGTCACTTCCTCTGGGGTAAGGTCTTTCCACAATAAGGAAAAGACAATGTGATGACATAATTAATGTCTACATATGCAAACATAACCCTGTCGAAATTCTGTAACATAGAACACCCAATCAGCATTTATGTTACCACAGAGGGGAGATAAAGGGGCTAAAATATGAAGGGGAAAGGAGAAAAAGCATTTATATAAGGCACAGCAGTCAGGGCTCAGCCTTTGGATGTGAATCTGCTGAGTCGGTGGCAGCACTAGTTAAAGCCTCAGTGTCCCAGCTCTCTATTCAAGCTTCTGCCAATACCTCAGATTAACATTGCTAGAGAGAACACTCTTGCATCCCCAGGCCAGGGGTGGAGGTGTCCTGACAGAAACTCCAGTAGGACAAAAAAATGAAAAGACCATTCTTGGAGCTGGAGAGATGGCTCAGTGGTTAAGAACACTGTCCTTGTAGAAGACCCGGGTTCAAATCCCAGCACCCACATGGCAGCTAACAGCTGTCTGTAACTCCAGCTCCAGGGGATCCAACAGTGTCTTCTGTCCTCCTACATGCAGGAAATACACACATACACGTAAAATAAAAATAATACAATGTTTTTTTTAAAAAAAGAAATTACCATTTTTATCACCAAGTTATTCCAGCATCCACTTGAATTGAACCCTCACCAAATTCCAAAACAATACTTGAACATCCTTATGACAAAATTGTCTTCAGCTCAAGACATGCAGATTGATCATATAAGCTCAGTTAGGAACCTGATAACCATGAAAAAGGAGGTTATTTTATGTTAGAGTGAGCTGAGGACCTCAGACCCCATAGATATTCCCAGGATGCTTCTGCTCCACATGGGACTGGCTCCACATGTGAGCTTCTGGCCCACATGGCGTAGTGGTTCTGCTCCAAGGTTCTTCCTGTCCCATTTTCTATACACATTTCTGTCTCACTGGGCCACATTTGCTTGAAACTGTCTTGTTCTAAAATATAGGTAAATGTAGTAGGCTCCTGTTGACCACAACCTAATCTAGAATCCATAAACTGAGGTTTGTTAAAGAAATACTCATACCACAAAAAACTTTCCACTTAGAAAAAGTCCTTATCAAATACTGATGAATACTGTCCCAGAACCTTAAAAAAAAAAATTAAAATTAAAAAAAAAAAACTTCAATAGTCTCTTCTTTCCCTGGTTCAGCTTTTACTATGGATACCCA